TTCAAGTTTTACACAAAAGTATATATATTTTTTGAAAAGTAAATCTTTCATAAAAAGAAGCTCTAAAATGTTTCCTTGATACATAAAACGTTTGACACATAAAATATTGCTGTATGAAAAATTCAACTTTTCACGTTTTATGAGATGTGTTTAAATATTTGTGCATCTGATACATTTAATGAAAATACGCGTCCTTTATGACATTCTAAATTGGAACGTTCTTTTAGTATTACATATTGTTTTCAACCACTATATACATACATATATATATATACTTTAATATATCTGTCAAATAAATCTATTTGATTTAGAAAATAAAATAACTTTTATTTATAGAAATAAAAATTTTTTACACAATTTTAAAAAGTTTTGTCTCAATGAAATTGGGATTTTTTTTTTGGTTCTGAAATAAAAAATACTAAGCCAAGCAGAGTATCTCACTTCAATTCAGTTTTTTTACTAATAATAAAAAAACACGAAATTTAGTTTTTCTAATTTTTTTCCTTGACTTTAGGTACTTATGATACTAAAATTAGAAGAATTTAAAAAAATTTAATTTATTTTAATTTAAATTAAAACTTATTTTTATGATAAAAAGGTAAAAAAATATAGGAATTGTAAAATTGCTTATTATTATTTTTTTTATAAAGTTAGAAGAATTTCAGACAATGACTGTCTTAAACTCACTTTTACTACTTGTTTCAAAGTTACATAAATTTAATCCTTTTGGTCTGACTAAAACTTACTTTTACTACTCATTATAAAAAGTCAAGACTTTAAAAACTGTGTCTGATAAAAACTGACTTTTATTACTGATGATAACGTTAATATATGTTTTTTGTCCGAATGAAACTGTTTTTTTTACTATTTTTGATCCTAATTTACAAATATTCAATTTTACAAAGTTAGTTGATAAAATTTTGTCTGACTAATATTCCATTTTACTATTGATAATGAAAACTAAGAAGAATGTGTCTGACTAAAACGGTCTTTTACTACTGCTTTCAATTCCGAATGGAGACTAATTAAAATTCTCTTTTACTACTAAAAATTAATAAAATTCTCTCATTGAGAAAAACAATTTTGTTATAATAAAAGAAGTCAAGATTTGTACTAACGTACCATGACATTTTCTGTAAAATTCAATTTTACACCCAAGTAGCACGTAATGTTACAAGAATTGTACCCGATAGGATCTTACGTGCTACTTGGAAAATTTTTTTACAAAATTCACAGTCTCAATACTCCACGACATCGCAAAAATTAAATTAAATTATTACTTTGTCAGGGAGAATAAATAATAACGTACTAGTTTCTGACACTATAAAAAACTAAAAATTAATATAGACCATACTAATCTTGGGTATTATTTAGTTAGAAACCAGTACGTTCATACGACTAAATTGCAGAAATTTGAGTTAGATTTTAATAGGGACCTCGCTGTGCGTCCCTTTTGCCAGATGGGTTCCGAAAGAGAAACTCTAGGCGGGACCCGGCATTTTTCGTCACGATCGACGCCAGCGAGGAATGTTGGTAGGGATCTAGCAGGGATATCCCTGCGATTTCCCTACCAGGAGTAAAGGGTTCTCGCTAGAACCCTATTAGCTCCCTTTAATCGATTATTATTAAATAAAAATTAATAAATATTTAATAAATCCAAAAAACATATTTATATAAAGATCCAACGTCCTTTCTTCCGTGTGTGTTTTTGAAATTGTAGAATTAAAAACGCCCGTTTAATTGAACTTCCTAACCTCCAAACAGTACTAACACAAATTTTAACCAGAATTATAAATAAAAAAGTTAGAAATCATAAAATTACCTGAAGAAATTGGAATAATCATAGTAAAAATTAAAAATTTGCAATAATGATATTAACATAAAGACAAAATTTGAGGTTAGAAAACCAATCAATATATTTTTTACTTTTAATATTCTAAGTACATATTTCATGTTTGTTGGCTTAATATTAAATATTCTTAAATTGATAATATTATGTTAATATTTACCTTCTGATAAAGAAGATAATTGATTCGAGTCATCTAAATTGTTAATATCCATAACTTGCTCTTGAACATATTGCATTCTATTTAATTCAACGCGTACGGATTTCACCTCAAGATATTGTTTGCTACGCATTCGCGATTGCTTTTTTTTCCTCTCATTATTTTCCATTATTAATTAACAAAAGAACAATAAAATTCAGGTTCACACAAAATGACATGTGCACTTGCACCATTCATGTCATCATTCTCGACGATGGAACATCGATATATTGAAAACTTCGATACATCGATTTCGATATTTTCGATTTAAATTTAAATATTATTTTTAAATTAAATAAAAAGTGAAACTATATTTTATAATGTAATTTATTAATAATATTATTTTGATTCTATCACTCGGTGGTATTTAATAATAAATTTAATTTATTTAATAATTTTATTATTATAATTTATTATTATTAATATTTATTCTTTTTATTATTATACAAAAACAGAGTTTTCCTCATTTTGAAACAAATTATATTAATTTTTTAAACAAAAAGTCTTTCAGTGTATTATTATTTATAATTACACTGAGAAAAAAAATTTAGTGTTTGCAACAAAATTGTTTGGTTAGGCAATTTTAGTTCTTGTAACCAAATTTTGATTGGCTGAAACAAAGTCGTAGAGTTATCTCAACCAAACATTTGGTTAGGCCAACAAAATTATTTGATTCAACATTTTTAAATTCCAACCAAAATTTGGATATGACAACAAAATAATTTGGTTAACACAACAAAATAGTTTGGTCTAAAAAACCAAATGATCGTTTGTTGTTCTAACCAAAATTTGGTTGCGACAACCAAAAAATTTGATTCGCTTTCAGCTTATAGCTTAAGAGGACAGTTAGTTTAAATCTCTCACAAGGATAGGTAGTCGAGTGTTCAGAGCTCCCGACCTTCAGTTTTAAAACAGAGGTTCGATCCCAGGCGGAGATGAGATTTTTCAATGTCCACAAATATTTCAATTGGATAAATACACTGTAAAAAAATTAGGGAGTTAACGTTACTGGGAGTTGGGAGATAATTTTTCGAGTTAAAAATCAACTCAAAAAAGGAGTTAATAATTAAATTTACTCTTTAAAACCAACTCCCTATAGGCATAAAATTAACTCGAAAAGCTTTAACTCCCTTCGCTTCAACACCAAAAGGGTGGGACTTTTATAGCATCCCCTAGGGAGTTGAAATTCAACTCCTTTTTTTTACAGTGTATAAATTAAACGTTAAATTGGATAATAAATAAATAATGAAATAAATAAAAAAGATAAAAAGGAAAATAAATAAGGTAGAAATTTTTTTTTAATTTTACAAAAAAAGCTGTTTGTTTGATCAACCAAACATTTTTGTTGACCTAACAAAAAAAATTTGGCTGAGCTAACCAAACATTTTTGTTATGCCAACCAAAAAACACTCAACCAAATTTTTTGATTGACTCAAACAAATAGTTTGGTTGCTTAAATACCAACAAAATTTTTTTGTTGGCCCAACCAAATTTTGGTTGCTCTGACGAAACATTTTTCTCAGTGTATATATTATTATAATATAGTGGGTGGCTAAAAATAATCAAAATATGAATATTATTAATTATATTACGAGACTTCAAAATTTTAACAATATTCCATGTTAAAAATATAAAAAGTATTTTTTTGTGAAAAATAAAATATTTTTTTGTATAAAATATTAATCTCGAATGACTTTTCTCGACATATAAAGTGAATTTTGACCCTATTACCCGATTGTGCGGAAGTGAAAAAATGTTTCGTCCCATGGGTGTACACGTATAGATATATATATATATAAAACAGGTAATGTATTTTTCATAGAGGGATAGAGTGCGAAACCTAGGGCTGTTTGTTCATGCCTTAAGACTCGTGTTGACGTGTATCCAGTGGAAATTCAAAGTCTCGGTCGCTGAGGTGGATTTCAGATTTAAACGAACGAGATTACTTGTGGGGTAGTAGATCACACTGTTATCAAGATACATATAAAGGGGGATCTTATACCCGCTTGCAGATGCATAATCCAGCCATCTTACAAGTGAAATTAGCTGAGAAAGTAAACAGATACTGCAGTTTCCAGTGCCTTTATTTTCACAGTTACTCTTTTCTCTAAACTATATTACACACAGCAACTTGACGCTAATTAAATTACATTTTGCCGTTTCTCTCTATCTCTTACTTTCTCTCTCTATATATATATATAAATTCGACATTACTCTCGTGTACATAGATTTAAATATAAAAACTTATTTACACAAAACTAATTATAATTATTAATTAATTATTTATGTTATGTTATTTTTATGCATTTTAATTTATTCAACATCTATAATGTTATTTTATAAGCTTTTGTGTTCATTATTATCAGTTTTACAGTTAAAAGAGTACATTTACATTTTGCGTGCACTTGTTTCTAATGAATTTATATATATGTAGGGTTAATGTATATATATATGAATATAACCTACATTTACAATTAGAATCGTATTCATATATATATATATAAACATTATTTAAAAGAAATTAAAAGTCTCCAACCCAGGAAATTAAAATTTTAATTTGAGAAAGAAAAATATTTTAGCGCGTTAACAAAAGGTTACTAACACATACGTGTGTGTATAAGACCAAAAAATGTCCTGTCCACAATCTGACATAGATGTTAAAAATTTTAATATTATTCATCGTTAAAAAAATTTTCTTATAAAACAAAAAAAAAACAAAATTAAAAATATTTTTTTAATTCTCATTACCGTCAATCAGGGCTATTATACCCCCAAAAAAAACGCTACTTTTTTACTCAGTGCTTCACGAAAATTCAAAATTAAAGTAAAAAACGCCGAAAACGTTTTAAAAGAAGACATTTTTTGCACTTTTAAAACGGACAGTTTTTGCAGTCTATAAATTAATATATATAAATTAATTATATTATGCATTTTTAAAAAATAAAAAGAACTTACCGACATTGATGATGGATCCTAAATTGTAGCTTTGATGTCCAGGTTCAAATTTCCTCTTCTTTCTTGGCCCTAAAACCCTAAGAAAATTTCCCCTAATAAAAATGTCGAATTAACACACCCAAAGCTCTCGAATCACTCTTTACCTGAAACAAAAAATAAATTCAATTATTAATTAAATTTTTAATTAATTAAATACCTATTTAATCAGTCTAATCTGTTTTTTCAGGTGTCGGTAAAACAGTTTTAAATTTTATGTAAACAGTCAAACAAGTTTTACCAACAGTCGGTATAATAGTTTTGTCGGTGGAATTGTTGCGTATTTAATAATCAGTCAACTCTATGTTATTAGAATTTGGTAAAACAGTTTTAAACAGTCAGAACTGTTTTATCAGCAGTAGGTAAAACAGTTTTTTAACCAAACATTATTATGGATTTAATCGGCCTAATCTGTTTTATCAGCAGTCGATAAAATAGTTTTGACTAAGAATTATCATCGATTTAATCAGTTCTAGTCTGTTTTATCAACAGTCGGTAAAACAATTTTTACTAAAAACTCTTACCTACTTAATCCATCAAATCTGTTTATCAGCAGTCGGTAAAACAGTTTTAAATTTTATTTACGTAAACAGTCAAACAAGTTTTACCAACAGTCGGTAAAAGTTTTGTCGGTGGAATTGTTGCGTATTTAATAATCAGTCAACTCTACGTTATTAGAATTTGGTAAAACAGTTTTAAACAGTCAGAACTGTTTTATCAGCAGTAGGTAAAACAGTTTTTTTAACCAAACATTATTATGGACTTAATCGGCCTAATCAGTTTTATCAGCAGTCGATAAAATAGTTTTTACTAAGAACTATCATCGATTTAAAGAGTTCTAGTCTGTTTTATCAGCAGTCGGTAAAAAAATTTTTACTAAAAACTCTTACCTATTTAATCCATTAAATCTGTTTATCAGCAGTCGGTAAAACAGTTTTAAATTTTATGTAAACCGTCAAATAAGTTTTACCAACAGTCGGTATAATAGTTTTGTCGGTGGAATTATTGAGTATTTAATAATCAGTCAACTCTACATTATTAGAATTCGGTAAAACAGTTTTAAACAGTCAAAACTGTTCTATCAGCAGTAGGTAAAACAGTTTTTTAAATCAAACATTATTATGGACTTAATCGGCCTAATCAGTTTTATCAGCAGTCGATAAAATAGTTTTTACTAAGAATTATCATCGATTTAAACAGTTCTAATCAGTTTTATCAGCAGTCGATAAAATAGTTTTTACTAAGAATTATCATCGATTTAAACAGTTCTAGTCTGTTTTATCAGCAGTCGGTAAAAAAATTTTTACTAAAAACTCTTACCTATTTAATCCATTAAATCTCTTTATCAGCAGTCGGTAAAACAGTTTTAAATTTTATGTAAACCGTCAAATAAGTTTTACCAACAGTCGGTATAATAGTTTTGTCGGTGGAATTATTGAGTATTTAATAATCAGTCAACTCTACATTATTAGAATTCGGTAAAACAGTTTTAAACAGTCAAAACTGTTCTATCAGCAGTAGGTAAAACAGTTTTTTAAATCAAACATTATTATGGACTTAATCGACCTAATCTGTTTTATCATCAGTTGATAAATTATTTTTAACTAAAAATTATCATCGATTTAATCAAATCTGTTTTATCAGCAGTCGGTAAAACAATTTTGACCTAAAACTATTATCTATTTAATCAGTCTAATCTGTTTTATCAGCCGTCGGTAAAAGAAGATTTTACTACTAAAAAAATCAGACAATGAAAAAAAATTGGTACGCGATATGATTTCATTAACACAAATTGTGAAATATGCAGTGTACATTTTGTGCTGCGTTGGCCCGTGCATGGTGATAGTAACTAATTTGCTTTAATGACTTCACAGTGGTCGCGTGACATAGACTCAAACAATGGTATTTACGAGCAAATTTCAGCAATTTGCTCAAGTAGCTCGTCTTTATCCGGGAATGGCCGAGATCTGAACTGTCGTGAAACTCAAGTCTCGAAGGTGCTCCTGGGAATTTGGGTCAAGGAATTGAACACGACAATGTTTTTCATTATAATCGAATTTTTCCCTTTTTTCTACATGTGTTACACATAGAATACAATGTCACGATTTTTTATAATTTAAAATGTTAATTTATTTATATTTATAAAAGCATATGCAACAAATTAACATTGGTAAAAAAAAATGGAAATAATTATTTCACTAATTCAAATTAGTTAAAATTTTTACTAATTCTTTATAGAAAGTAGGACATGAAGAGCACAATTTTCTATAATTTAAAAAAAAACGTAAAAACAATAATTTTTTTATTAATTTCAATTTTGATTAATTACAATTTTTATCCAAATGCATTTAGGATTCTCCAAAACAAAAAAAAAAAAGTCGTTCTCATATATTATACAGAACGCTTCAAATTTTTTCTTTCTTCATTTTAAAAATCTGCATTTGAAATAACTGACAAAAATACATCAATTTTGACATATTTAAAATTACTTACATATTCACATATATATTGAGATCCGTCAAAAAAGCGATAAATATAAAAATCGTTCAACTCGAGTTTTGTAGTACACATACAGCTTCCTCTTTTTCTTTTTTTCTCACAAAAAAAAAAAAAAAAAAAAAAAAAAAAACGTTTCGTTTCACTTGTCAGAAAAGCAGAGTGAAATATTTTTCCATTTCTTTCATTAAGTGTACATTCAGAGGACAAAAAAATTGGCAAATTGTGGCAAATTGCATTGTCAAGTTTCACAAGCGCATTTGATTCGTTTTTCTTTTTTTATTTTTTTTTTTTTTATTTTTGATGTTACTTAAAAATTAGCTTCATTTTTAAATGATACTCGTGTAGAAAAATTTAACAACAATTTTTCGGTTGAAAAAAATGTAAATAAACTAATAAGTTTTGAACAATACCTTTTGTAAAAAAAAATATATTAACAATTATAGAGAATTTTTATGCTAGTGTTTTAATTAGTTTTTTATTTTATGAATAGGACTAGAATTAGGTGTAAAAAAATTAGAATTAACGTATAGTTATTTTTTTATCATAAACAGAATGTATAACAATTTCAATATTCAAAAAGAAGTGTTAGATAAAAGATTAAATTATTAGTAAATCAACGTGGCTGCTTGGTCAGAGTACACGACTCGCGTCTCAAGGGTCCTGGGTTCGATCCCCAATGCATGCGAGATTTTTCAAAATTATTATCAAGTATTTTTATATACTGCTCATGTTATATACATATATCTGTTTGGGATACTATATATAATACAAAAAAAAGAAATAAAAGAAATAAAAAGAGAGAAAGAGTTATTTTCAATTTTTGACAGTTTCTAAAGAATTTTAATCTGCGTCTATTTTTGATCTCAATAATTTCGATTATTTTTAAAATCTAATAAACATTGACAAAGTAATTCCAAAAAGAGAGGAAAGTTTTACTGCTCACGTCGATATTTGACAAATTGTTAGCGGCAAAAAAAAAAAAAAAAAAAATTGCATGAAATATGAAAGGATCTGGTTCGTGAAAGGTAATGTTTGCATACTTCCTGTCAAAATTGAGTTATATTTATGAGTGTAGACTTAAATTCTCTATTATCGAAAATATCGCTTTTCTTTTTTTACAGAAAAAAAACCTAGTCTCATTTTTGCTGCAGTTCAAAATGAGTCAATGCTAAACGACATAGAAAGTGGCGCCACCAACCTGACTTATTTTTGCTGAACTTCAAAACGCTACCCATGTGCGAGAGACTTAAACTAAATGATTTCTTAAGGTACAAGCTGACAATGAGAGCGAACTAAATTATTTTGTTGTCGTAACCAAATTTTGGTTGGAATTTAAAATCGGTCAAACAAATAATTTTATTGATCTAACCAAATGTTTAATTGATATAGCTATATAACTTTGTTTCAGCCAACTAAAATTTGGTAGACAACCAAAATTGCCTAAACAAATGATTTTGTTGCAAACACAAAATCTATTTTTTTGTCTATATAACGAGTTTCAAGCGAATTCGAAAAATAAAAAAATGGTCAAAATATTGGATCCGCTATTTTGAGATTTAAAATTACACTTCAAATTTTACGTTTTAACTATTGAAATAGAAATATTAGGGGAATAGTGTTAGGGTTGGAAACTTGTCAGGGTTGGACACTTGGCTTTTTTTAAATAAGAACACTAGCGCCACCTGTGTGCGTACGTGACGAATCTTCTAGTAGTGTAACCTAACTTTTTGTGGTATTACATTTTTGGAGAATCAAAAGTAGCGTCTCCTGTGACTTCGGTGCAATCAAAGAGACAAAAAAAGTTTTGTTTGACTTGTGAATAAACCTAAAAAATGTGTAAAAAAAGCAAGAATTCGGCAAGGTAAGCTTATTGAATGTATTGTGGGGTACATAATTTAAGAAGAAAAAAAGTGAAAAATCGAATCGCGACACATGTCTGGTTATGGTTAGCACAATTCGAAAATGATGCTTCTAGTTAGGGTTGGACACTTTATACAGTTAGGGTTGGACACCCATATTAATTATGAATTTGACACAATTTATAAATAAATATACAAATAAATTTTATTTTATTGATATTTCAGTGCAAAATTGTGCCAAAGATATTAGAAAAATAATACTTAAATTGTATAAATTTTGTTCATCATTTCATTGAGTTATTTGGAACAATAAAGCGTTATTTTTTGTAATTTGAGTTCATTCCTTTTTTAAACCCATGAAGCTCTACAATTTGTAAACAATAAGTAAAGATAAACATGAAAAAATAAGAATAAAAAACATTACAAATGTTATTTTACGTTTTTACCAATAATACGTTTCGATTTTCAAAAAGTGTCCAACTCTGACTGAAAAGTCCAACCCTGACTAGATTTTTTTTTTTAAATGTTTATAACTTTTTTAATTTTGGACCAATCCATTTACGGTCCACAGCAAATGTGTTCCTCTTTTGTAGATCTTTCCACCAATATACCACAATTGACTGAATTTATCTAAACAAAATATTTATAAACAAAAAACCAAAACTGTGTCCAACCCTGACACTATTCCCCTACACTTTTAGAATTAAGATTTTATTAAAAACCATAATTCCTTGGTACAAATATAAAAA